CTTATACTTTGGACATATTGTCAGGAGGGAACAGTCACTGGAAAAGGATATCATGTTTGGTAAGATCAGAGGAAAAGAGGAAGACTCCCAATGAGATGGATTGGCCAAGTGGCAGCATCGATGGACTCAATCGTAGCAACAATAGTGAGGTTAGCCCAGGATCGGGCAGTGTTTCGTTCTGCTTGTGCATAAGGTCGCTATGGGTCAGTACCGACTCGACGGCACCTAATAACAACAACAACAAGCAGAAAAGTAACCACAGACAATGTGTTAATTAATGAGTGAGGATTAATTTCCAATAAACCTTTATTAACAAACAAACGGCAGGCTGGCTTTGGGCCACGGTTTGATGAGCACTGCTTTAAAAAATGTTCTTGACCAATTTTTATCCTAAGATGTTCTTATAATTGCCCTAAAATCTCCTTGTACTAATAATACACAGTATGAATACACAAAACAAAATATAACTTAAAAAATTTCACTGCCATGGGGTTTAGACAAGAAAACCCAATGAACCAGAAGTTAGAGTCAAAGAAGTGACAAGAGCTTTCTCTGCCAAACCAGCAGTGTTGTCCCGAGAGCAAGTCTGACTCACCTAGAAAGGACTTCGCCACGGCATGCAGGGCTTGCGGAGGCCAGGGCATGAACCAGTCGATGCCAGTGTTATTGACCAGACCTTGAAAGAGACAGATGGAACGATGGTCACTCTGTAGCCCAGAGACACTGGAGAACAGATACCAGCTCAGTACCCAGTAAACAGTGAATGAGCCAGGTACACCCGTGTTTAATTCATGGAAGGGAGGGCTTGTTTGCCTCAGCACTACTGACCTCTGGGGATGGGTCATTCTTTGTTACTGGGTGGCGGGGTCAGTCCTGTGAATTGTAGGATGTAGAGCAGCACCTTGGGCCTATACCTACCGGAAGTCCACAGTACCCAGTGTGACAACCAAAACTGGAGTCAGGTGTTGCGAGGTCCCTTAGGGGAGCAGCTTCACTCGGCTGGTGAGAAGCCTTTTCTAAAGGCTGGCACTGTGCCCCCCATGACGCTGATGGAATTTTTCCATATGGATGAACTCACTATTGACCTTGTACCAGAAGGACATCAAACACATGCCGACCACGCAAGAGTCCCTCGGTAGACCTCCATCCCAGGTGGGGGCCCAGTAGCACCCGATGAAGGTGTTGGGTGGAGTTGCAAGTACTTGGATGCCCCCCAATACACACACCCTGCTGATGGGGACACTGGACTTGCAGAGGGTACCTGGGAAGTTTCTGCACCGGGTCCTCAGAGTGTCTCCAATGGGTGACATGCCAAGGATGATATGCAGATTATTGGCACTCTTATTCACGAAGTACTGCCACACAGACTCCTTGGCCGGCCCCGTACCATGCTTCAGAGCTTCTTGTCCAATCTGACCCAGGATGGACTCCTTCTCCTCTTCCGGGAAAAGTGCTGGTACAATCCCTGGACACAGGCAGGGACTGTGAAGACCACCTTTGGAGTAGTCCTCTGTCATCATCATGGACTGAATGGTGTCCCCCCAGGATGCCTCCATGGGGCCGGGGTTCTCAGTGCTTTGACAATTACGTAATGATGTAATCATCCGCCATGATGTGATCTGAGGTGATCAGCCAATCAGCTGTGAGAGGATTATGGTGGGACACTACAGCCCTACTCAGATCACAGGCCAGATGTGAGGGGAGCTTCCTTAGGGGGCAGCCGTATCACTTTTTATCGTACAAGCGATCGGTAACAGAGACGAGCTGGGACCCAGGATCCCTGCGCCGAGCACTTCCCAGACCCAGAGGCAGACTACTGCCAAGCCACATGGTGCTCTCCGAGGGGTGCCAAGCCTACAGATGTTGGAAGCAGACAAGGATCTTCCCCTCAACCTTGCAGCGCAAGAGAGCCTGCCCTGGGAGCTAGCACCCTTAATTTAGAATTCTGTGGGTTAATGCACTCCACTGCAAAGTCGATTTGAACCGCAAGGTTGGCAGTTGAAGCTCTCCAACCACTCCTTGGAAACACTATAAAGGGTCACTAAGAGTCAGAACCAACTCAATGGCACTTAACAACAGCAACGAACTGGAAGAGGAGTCCTGGTGTGGCGCTGTGGGATAAGCATGGAACCACAAAGCTGGTTTGAATTGTAAGGTAGTGGTTCAAACCCACCAATCGCTCCTCACACACCCTACACAAGGTTGCTGCGTCAGGACCTACTGGACAGCACTTAACCACCACAGCAACAAAGTGTAAGGGAGTAAATGTGTGTTACAACCCCCTGTGGTCTGTGTGTGGGAGCAGCATTAGAGAATCAGACATTGCTCTAGGCACCAGCAGAGACAGGAAGAGGGCGACAAGCTAGAAAAAGGCAGCAGGGCTGGGGTCCTACACAGCCATGTTTCCCCACTTCATCTGAGCAGGACTGGGAGCTCCACTCTTGCAACTGCAAGTGACAGAAACCCTGGTCTCCAAGACTGACTTGTTCAGGATTCAGGGTGCTGTCTTCATTTTCCCGACGGGGGAGAGGGGGCACAGGGCCTCATCTATATGGCAGCACAGGTCAGGAGCCTGCAGTCCCTACCTGATGTCAGCATGTTGTTGATGAGTTCCAGGAAGCCCTCTTCTGCCACGTGGGCGTCAGTAAACAAGAAGATCATCATCTTGTTCTCAATCCCGAGCTTGAGATACAGGCTCTTCAGATCTTCACGGAAAGAGTTCTCAGAGTAGCCTCGGCTCAGCAGGATCTCGAACACCTGGCAACAGAGAGTGGCACTACCATGGGGCGGATACACTGAGGGCCAGCTCCCGACATCTAGCTCCTCACCCCACCGGCATAGTGCCCTGCAATGAGGGAACTGCAGAGAGGAGCACAGCTCACCGACTGGCTTCTCAGAAGTGCCTGAGGTTGGCACAAGGACTGAGCGACCTGGGGTCTGCGAACAGCAGGACCTGAAGATCATGTGCATGCATGACAAGATGCCACCAGAGCGCTGAATCAAACAAGACCCGAGTCCAGTTTTTAGCAAAAACGGAGGTGTCGAGGATAAAAGAAGACCCAAATGCAGAATGGACAAGTCTGCTGCAAACCAACTCTCAAGAGTTCTAAAAAGCAAAGACATCACCCTGTGATGACTAAGCTGTACCTGCCCCAAGCCATGGTCCTAGGCATACAAAAGCGGGACAATGACAAAAGATGACCGGAGGAGAGCTGATATATTTGAATATGATTCGGGCAAAGAATACTGAGTAAATCATGGACTGCCAGAACAAACAAATCCATCTTGCAAGAGATCTAACCAAGTCCTCCTTAGAAACAAAGGTGGCAAGACTTCAGCTTCCTCACACTGATCACTAGAACAGGTCCTCATGTCTGGGAAAGCAGAGAGTCAGCGGACATGAGGGAAACGCTCAGTGAGATGAATGGACAATGGCCACAGCAGTGACCAACATGCATGAAGGTGGTGCAGGACCCACCACACACTGATCTGTTAACACAAGTCACCGAGTCAGAGCCAACTTGAGGGAAATTAACAAGAGTGCTGAATGGAGTCAGATTCCGAAGAATTCGAGAGAAACCTGCTGGGCGGGGTAGAGGGGTGGCGGAAAATGTATTTATGAAAATGACTTCTGTTCAAAACTAAGTCTGAATGAACGTGCCTTCCTCCACCCAGAGGCCTGGGAATCTCAGGATTCTATAACATCCCAAGGATGGTCCAGTCCAGTGTGCTGATACCTTATAGGGGTCACCTGAGGTTGGCCCAAGTCCTTCTCCAAGTGAGCACACCCAACAATTCACAGGATCTACTTATATTTGACTTTTGAACTTGAATTGATGTATTCTGCATTGCAGAAATGATAAGACACTTAGATACTTTCGATATTCAGTTCAAGTGCTTATAACAAGTCAAAACAACAACAAACTGCCAACTCTTTACTCTATGAAAATTTCACATTATGATTTGCTGTAGATTGTTCCACCAGCCCTCTGTCAGTCTGTCCCACTGTGATGGCTTGTATGCTGCTGTGATGTTGGAAGCAGGGTCATCCATGGTAGACAGGTTTCAACGGAGCTACCAGACTAGGACTAGAAAAGACGGCCTAGCACTCTACTTCCAAAAGCACCAATGAAAACCTTGCAAATCACAGCAGAACCCTGCCTGACACAGAGCTGAAGCCAAGCCCCCAGGTCGGAAAGCTGCAGCACTGGTCCGTGCACACCAGGGACCATGCCGATGGTGAGGGTCCGGACGCTTCATCCTGCTGTGCGTGGGGGCACCAGACAGCAACAATGACATCGTCTGTTCTGGTATCTGCATGATCACGCCTTTCTAGAAGGGAAAAGACTCACCTCATAGCCTGCTGTGAAAGCAGCCAGTCTTGCAAGGGACTGCTTTCCTGAGCCCCCGACCCCGACCAGCAGGGCGTGACCCCGGTCCATCCGAATAATCCTGTGCACACGGGTCAAGTGCTCCAGGGCGTCATCAAAGAGGACCAAGTTCATCTTGGTGTTACTTTCATTATACTCCTCAAGGATTTCCTGAGAGTTAAAAAGCAAGAGACAGCACCACACTGTCTATAGGAAGCCGACCGTACTGTCATCCAGGAGAGATAAGGATGGAGAAGAGAGTTTTACAAAAGTCTACAGTAGCTAGAGTGGTGACGTTGTTGGAATTGGGGCGTCCATCGACTCTCATGGCCCGGAGTCCCATCTGCTGTCCTTCAATCTGCCAGCGTCGAGCCAAAGGCCCAACTCTTGATTTTAAATGGAACCAAAACTACTGGTTCCAAAACCTCTGAGTCCTGGCGTGTACCTGGGACCCTCTGTCCCTGGATAGCCCACTTTGGATCTACACCCCATAACAGCTGTCTATCAAGAGGAGAGCTACGCCACACCTGGAACAGAGCCTTTGCTGCCTCGTAGTCCTGGATGTCTTCATAGATGCGTGCTTCCTCTTCGTGCAAAGCCATCCGGAAGTCTCCAAACAGGATGGGGTCTCTCATCACTGTCTCCAGGTCCTCCTTAAAATGCTCCTCAACCAAGCTTCCTATGTGGACTTGTACCTTAAGATGCAAGACCACATGCTAGAATTTGTCAGGCAAAGCCCACATAGGTTTTCCCCGATTGCTCTAACATTTTGAGTTATCCACCCTCCTCTACCGGCTGACTTTCACTGCACCGGTGTTTCTACAGTGGATGTGTCATAAAACATACACTGGGGTTGCATGCAGCTACCCTGGCTGACCTCATGTGGGCAGGTTACAGCTGCACTGCCACTGCAGTTGGATGTACTGACCAGCTGCTTGTCAGGCTCATTGATTAAACGATCGTGGAAGACTCTCAGGCACTCGTTCCTCCAGACCCTCACCATCTGGGGCACCATCTGGAACCTACATGGTCAAGAGGGCAGAATCAGCTGTGATGTCACACGGAGACATGGAGGGTCATGTGGACCACTTTCACTCAGATACCCAGGGCCCAGAAGACGGTGAGCCTATCGGCAGTCCTTCCGTCCCCTAGTCTCACATTCACGAGATCTTACCAGCGGGCGGCGAAGGACCATGAAGCCACTGCCCATGTTGGCCCACTGGAGGGAAGGCTCTGGCAACCTACTTACAAAAACAGGCCGATGGCAGCCGCGTGGATCACAAGCCACTGCCGTTGGGTAGATTTCAACTCACGGTACCCCACAGGACAGGGTAGAATTGTTACATACGGGTTCCAAGGCTGTAAATCTTTACAGAAGCAGAAGTCTCATATTTTTCTATGGAAAAGCTGGTGGGTTCAAACTGTCAGTCCATTAGCAGTCCAGTTCTCAGTCCCCTGAGCCACCAAAGCACCTCGAATCACAACAGATGACATCAAATAATTGCTCCTGCCCCTGTGTGCTGGAATGTTGTTGTTGTTGTTGTTGTTAGGTGCCATCCAGTCAGTACCGACACATAGCGACATTAAGCACAGCAGAACGAAACACTGCCCGATCCTGGGCCAACCTCACTACTGTTGTCACACTTGAGTCCATCAATGCTGACATGTTGATGCCAATCCATCTTGTTGGGGGTCTTCCTCTTTTTCTCTGACCCTCCACCTTACCAAACATGATATCCTTCCCCAGTGACTGGTCCCTCCCAACAATATGTCCCAAGTATGAGAGACGAAGTTTGGCCATTTTGGCCTCCAAGGAGCACTCTGGCTGCACTTCTTCCAGAACGTAGGGACTGAAAATCAACATTAGGCTCACTGCTCACTCCTTTTCCAGGTTCTTTTTTAAAAAAAAAATTGTGTTACTGTTAAGGAGCTCTGGTAGCGTTGTGGTTATGAGTCGGACTGCCAACCTCAAGATCAGCAGTTCAAAATTACCAGCGGCTCTGCGGGAGAAAGATGGAGGTGTTCTGCTCCTGTTAAGATTTACAGCTCAGAAACCCTGTGCAGGGTCACTATGAGTCGGAACCAACTCCACGGCACTTAAAAATAACAACTGTTAGGTGTTGTCAAGTCACTTCTGACTCACAGCGACCTCATGGACACCAGCAGGCAATGCTGCCTGGTCCTGCGTCATCTCACAATCGGCCCATTTGAGTCTGTCCATCTCAGGGACTCTGTTTGCTGACCGTCTACTTTACCAAGCATGACGTCCTTCTCCAGGGATACGCCCCTCCTGATCACATATCCAGAGGCTATGAGACAAAGTTTCACCGTTCTTGCTGTTAGCACTTTTTCCAAGACTTACTTACTCTTCTGGAAGTCTATGGTAATTTCAATAGTCTTCGCCAACACCACCACTCAAATGGATCAATTCTTCTTCAGTCTTCCTTATTCACTGTGTAGCTTTTGCATGCATATGAGGCGATTGTAAATACTATGGCTTAGGTCAGCAGCAAAAATATCATGGCTTGGGTCAGCAGTGACATCTTGGCTCTTGAATACTCTGAAGAGGTTTTTTGCAACAGATTTGCCCAATGCAATGTCGTTTGATTTCTTGACTGCTGTTTTCATGAGTACTGATGGTGGATGTAAGTAAAATGAAATCCTTGACAACTTAAATCTTTTCTATTTATTATGATGTTGTTTACTGGTCCAGGTGTGAGGATTTTTGTTTTCCTAACATTGAACTGTAATCCATTCTGAAGACTATATCCTTTGATCGTCTCTCAGTCCTTTAAGTCCCCTTTGCTTTCAGCAAACAAAGTTGTGTCATCTATATATCACAGGTGGTTAATGAACCTTCCTCCAATCTTGGTGCCACGTTCTTCTTCATATAGTCCAAATTCTTGGATTATTTGCTTAGCATACAGACTGAATAAGTGGTCAGGGCCATAATTAATTAAGGAATTAAAATAAATAAATTGAGACATATTAATCGAGGAATTAAATAAATGAGACATGGGGAAAACCTGTGCATGAAGAATTCATTGTCTTTTCAAAGCAACAATGAAATACTTTCTTTTCTTTTTCTTTTTCTTTCTTTCTTTCTTTCTTTCTCTCTTTGGATGGCAGAGCCACAAAGAGTCGTTTTGTTATTTTTTATGCACAGACCCCTAGTTGAAATTTTTCTCTTGTTAAAACATTCTCTGATTTATTCATGATTTTATTAGTATCTTCTTTAGATTTTTTACTCTCCTACACTTTAGTATATTTTCATTAAAAGTTAGAAGCCACACATTAGCTACATTTTATTCTACTTGTAATCATAGGTAGTTTTAATACTTATATTAACAATATTCTTAAAACTGTTAGGAGACAGGATTTGTCAATTGAATTACTGCCAGCTTAGGTTTAGTGATTGTAAACATTCTTCCTTATAGCCTTAGTAGAAGGCAATAAAGAATCCTAAACGTGAATAGCCATAAATAAGGGCTGTGGGTACAAGAATTTCTAAAAACAATTAGATAAAGGCTATGGGTATATACAGATACTAAATAAAAAGTCTGACTTAGATGTTCTTAAATTAATGATTAGTAAATTAGAGAAGTTGTTTTTCATAACCTCAGTTTCCCTGATAAGTGATGTCTTTGTAGGCTATAAACAGAGTATGGAAGAAGTTAATGGAGAGTTAATTGCTAAATAACTAAAATTAACAAGATTTAACACACAAAGGTTAAGAAACTGTGAAGGTTAACTTGTTTCCCATAGAAAAGAATAGATTTATGTATGAACAAATGTTTAACTAAAAGGTTTCAAGGCGCCTGAATGTCTCCTATGCCTTGAGATAATGTTTTTGCTGTAACTTCTCATCCCTGTTGTAAATTTAAGAATTGTAAACCATAAGGAATGTGCCTCAAGATAGATTGTACCTTGATGTCATTTATTACTATAAATGCAATGTTTTCTGTAAGGGTATATAAGGGGGTTGTAAGATAGAACAAAGGGAACAGAGAACAAAGAAGAAGGAGGTAAAGAAGGAAAGAAGTTGAAGGGATGAAGAGAAGTAGAAGGGATGAAGAGAAGGAAGAAGAGAAGATGGGAAGTAGAAGAATGGGTGGAAGAAGAATTAGAGGCAAGAAGTAGAAGTAAGAGTAAGTAGAGGAAAATAGAACGAGACAAGAATGGAGAGAATGGAAGCTAGTAAAGGGAGCAGGAGAGGAGAGAAGGGAAGCAGGAGCCAGGGGAAGGGAGAAAGGACGCAGAAGAAATGAGCAGGAGAGCAGGGGAGTAAAGAATGAGCGGGACAGTAAAGAATGAGAGAAGTAGAGTATTAGAGTAGCAATAGAAATAATAATAATAAAGCATGTAATGAGAAGATTTTGAATTTATCATGATCCATGACTCCATAATCCGCCGACGCCGCATCCGCTTTCGGAAAAACCCTGGAATAAGTTTACTGGGGCTGGCTCCCGGCAAATAAGTATGTTGAAAGGATACAACTCTGGCACACACCTTTCCTGATTTTAAACCATTCAGTATCCCCTTGCTCTGTTTGAACGACTTCCTCTTGGTCTCTGTACAGGTTCTGCCTGGGCACAAGTCAGTGTTCTGGAATTACTGTTCTTTATAAAGTTACCCATAGTGTGTTAGGAGCCACACAGTGAATGCCTTTGCACAGTGAATAAAAGACAGGTAGACATCTTTCTGGTACTCTCTGCTTTCAGTCAAGATGTATCTGACAACAGTAATAATATTCCTCATTTTACATCCGCTTCTGAATCTGGCTTGAATTTCTAGTAGCTCCCTTTCAGTGTACAGCTGCAACCACTTTTGAACTATCTTTAGCAAAATTTTATTTGTGTGTGGTATTAATAATACTGTTTGATAATGTCTGCATCCTGTTGTTCACCTTTGTTCGGCATGAGCACAAGTGTGGATCTCTTCCATTCTATTGGTCTTTCAAATATCTTCTTGTCGTTTGGGTGAAAGTTTAGAGAGCACATTAGTTTTCCATTCAACAATCTATACATATTTTGTTTTGTGGCACTGATTGTGGTCCGTTCCCATTCGTCCTTCTTTCTTATCCCTTCCTGTTTTCTGAGCTTTGTTTTTTGGCAAATGCCGCCTTCCCTTCTCACATGGTCGATTGTTCTTAGGGCTGAGTTCCCTCCTGGTATTTTTGTTCACCTGATAGGCCTGTCTACTGTTTGGCTGAAAGTTGACCACCAGGGGTGACTTCCGTTCCAGGGTTGAAGGATGATTAAGGGCCGTAGTCTGGGGGGCTCCACCAGCCTTTATAAGACCAGTAAGCCTCCTCTTTTTCATTCTTTTGGGTTTTGATACACATTTTTCTCCCACTCAATCCAGGACCTTCTATTGAAATCTCATCAGAGCAGTTGGCAGTGATAGTTGGGCACAATCTAGTTCTTCTGGTCTCAGGATGGCAGGGGCTGGGGACTAATGGACCAGGCAGCCCCTTTTGCTGGAGCCAGCCCCATCTGGATCTGGTTATGTCTTATCCGGGAACTGGCCCTCGTATCAGAAGAAGACCTTCACTCCACCCTGAACACCTGGGACTTCCCTCTCTTCACTAGCCTTCCAGATCCTTCTTGGGACACCTGGGAGTGAGTGCAGGCATACAGACAGACCTTCATTCATTGTCAGTATCTTGTTGGTTCAAAGAACAGATACACATAAATGAAGTATGTTTGCACATCTGTGTAGCGAATAAATGAATGCTATCAACGTGAGCCCAGTTTTCATGAGAAAAACTGTATAACCATATTGAGAATCTTTTCTGTTCTCTGCTTTGACCACTCCTGAAGACACATATAATGTGACCAACTGGAAACAACTGAGTGAAAGGTTTCACACAGGCAAATTCCAGCCGAAGGACTAAGAATGAGAGATGGAAACAGTGGTCCCACTGAAGGGGTTTAACACATGACTCTGCAGATACTAACACAGTGCCCACTCCCAATCCCACCTGTCTTCAGCTGGAGGGCTTACAGGGCATCAGGGCTTCAGCAAAGCATTTCACCTTTTCTTTTTTCCACTTAACAGAAACAAAAAGGAGGTACTGGGGTAATCAATAGCTACAATAACTCACCAAATGTATGACAAGTCCTCTGTCCTAAAAGAATCAGAGAAACCTCAGTACTTGTGGGACACATATCAGTTAGACAAAACAAACTCACCGCTCTGGGTTAGTAAGGACGAGACCGTTGAAAACCCGTGAGAGATCTCGAAGGTTGAAGATGTAATGAAATTTTGAAGGGGTGGGAGGCAGATCCTGAACAATGTTCTTGTAGAGCATTAGCGTGCAGAATGTCAACTTGTCACTGATGGCCACAATGCTCTCATGAAACGTCTAAAGGAAAAAAATTAACAGATCCCCAAAGTGTCCATGAGTGGATGAATGGATAGACACATGGTGGTTCACCCATTTGCTGTTGCTGTTAAGTGCTGTCGAGTCGGTTCTATCTCCTAGTGATCCTGTTACTTGGTTTCCTAGAATCGGCTGGTGCATTTGAACCACCGATCTTGTGGTTCACACTCCAGTGCTTATCCTATAGTGCTCCACCCGCAGTAAAGGCCATAATAAGGAATGGAGTACTGATTATTCTTATGTAGTACAATCTGAACATTACAATCTTGAAACAAGATAAAGAAAGAAGTCAGATAAAAAAGCACAGATCATGTAGGGCTGCATTTAAAGGAAATATTCAGAACAGGTAAAGTGATGGAGACAGACAGTGGGCTAATGGTTGCCAGGGGCTTCAAGGAAGAGGGAATGGAGAGTGAGTACTAATGGGTACAAGGCTTCCTCTGTGGAGGACGGAAGGTTCTAGAATTAGAAGGTAATGAGGGTTGCACAACACTGTGACTATAGTAAATGTCCCAGTGTTAAATGGTTTAAATGGTCAATTCTGTGGCGTGTATGTGACCACAGTAGGAAAAAGAACAAAAGAAGAAGGTAAGGACAAAAAGCAAAAAGACCAGAGAAGCCCACCTGATGTTTGCTAACTTCCCTGCATTTTCACACCACCTGTGAACACAGCGTAAGTTTTATCTGATGCTTGTGGATGTCATAGTCTTTTAGGTGGATGCCCTGAAGCAGGGTGTGAACATTCCAGGTCCCCACAGTCCCTACTGATACACCTTTCCCTTGTCCTCCCAGGTCCCAAGGTGCTGCACTTACAAACTCCACTTTAGAAGTGAAACATCCCAAATCGGAAGGTAATTATCTAAGGTACAGTAACATCTAGGGAGTTCCTGGTGCGGGCCAGGCACTGTGCTGTATACTTGACAGGCAGCCCCTCCTTTCATCTCCCCCAGACTCACGCAAGGCGAGCACATCACCTCCTCCCTGAGCCAGAGGAGAAAACGGGGTAAGGAAAGGTTCAGGGCCCAGAATCCAAGTCCCTAGCTCCCTCACTGCTTCAACTCCCTGGGGCAGATGTGACTCAGAGCCACACCACAACTTCCATGGACCAAGGCACTTCCGCCTTCATGGGCCCCTTTCTCCATCAAAAACGACCATTTGAAAATGGTATTTGATGATGGCGTTGGTATGAATTTTCTTCTAATTCTGAAAGAAATTAGGACATCTTTGTGGGTCCCTACAGGCATCCTAAGGAGCTCTGGTAGCGTAGTGGTTACAAATTGGGCTGTGAGCCGCAAGGTCAGCAGTTTGAAACTACCAGCTGTTCTGCAGGAGAAAGATGAGGCTTTCTGCTCCCGTAAAGAATTACAGCCTTGGAAACCCTGTACAGGGTCACTATGAGTTGGAATCGACTCAATGGCACATAACAAGAACAAGTATCAAGCAGAGAGCACGCTGAGTCTAAGACATCAGTGCACTTCTTCTCAACACAAGGCCTTCCAGTTTAGAACATCTAATTTATGGCATGCTACCCTGGTGTGGGGATCCTGGTGTGACGCCATGAGTTAATGCACCAGACTGCAAAGCCCTTTGAACTACAAGGTTGGCAGTTCAAGCTCACCAGCTGCTCCTCGGAAACCCTATACAGGGTCGCTATGGGTTGAAATTGACTTCACAACAACAGCAACCCTGGTGTGGCACTGCAGGATAAGCGCTGGACTTTTAATTACAAGGTAAGTGGTTCAAACCCACCAGACACTCCTTGGAAACCCTATATAGGGTCGCTATGACTGGGAACTGACTCTACAACACTTAACAACAACAGCAACCCAGGTATGGTGTTGTAGTGAAAGTGTCTGGGTAAGAACCGAAAGGTCAGTAGTTCGAACCCACCAGCCACTTTGCAAGAGAAGGATGTGGCAGTCTGCTTCTGCAACGATGTGCAGACTTGGGAACCTGACGGGACTGTTCTACTCTGACCTACAGGGTCATGATGAGTCCAAATGACAGTGGCCTTGCTGTTTTTACCGAGGTGTGGCCTTTCAGGATGGAGGAGTAGATTAAATGCAAAGACTCCTCTTCAGGAAAGAGTACATTGTAGACATTGAACAGTGAGATAAATCTCGCGTCGACTTCATTGCGGCCTCCTCCGGCCTTGCCCATGGCAGCGATGAAACCAAGGTCTCGAATGCTTTTACAGTTCAGCTCCTTCCCACGGTCGTATAAGTAGCCCTTTTCCAGGAGCAGTTTCAGCAAAGCAATTGGCTGCTGGGTACCGTACTCGTCCACCTCGAGGTTTTGAAAGAAAAGAGAGAAACTGCAGTATCACCAAGTAGAACTCTGAGAGGGCTCTGCTGACCATCGAAATAAAAAAACAAAGATCATCCCTCTGGGCATTCACTCAGAACACCCAGTTCTAAGTATCATAGGTCTCCACAGAGTTTACAATGCTATCTTCATCTGTGCTTGTCCTTTAAAAGTTTCTCCTCCACACGTACACTATAAGCTTCCCAGAGGCTGGAGCTACAGATGGTTTCCTCATACATGAACAGTACTGATCCTATAGGAAGTGCTCAGTAAATACATGTTCACTGGGTGAACAGGTGAATTAACATGGATGGGTAGATGAATAGATAAATGAATGGATAATTGGGTGAATAAATTAATGAATGGCTGAGTGGGATAAATGGATGGATGGATGGATGGAGAGATAGATGGCCAGATAGACAGATGACAGACAAATGGATGGGTGGGTGGATGGCTGGATGGATGACAGATAAATAGAGGGATGGGTGGATAATACAAGGGGGTCTCAAAAAGTTAGTGGAAAAATTCTACGATCTTTTAATTCCACTTTTCCATCAGCTTTATGAAGCTCCTTTATATATACAAGTAGATGGATGGATAGATGGGTGATGTGCAGATAAACAGATAAATGGAGGACTGAATGGATAGACAAATGGGTGGACAGTTGAAATATATACAGATGGAAGGTAGATGGATGGGTGGAAAGTGTATGTATCTGGAAGATAAACCCCCAGGGGGAAAAGGCTCTGCAAAAATAATGCAAATTAAAGTTTCAGTATAGCAAGAAAGCTTTGAGCCTCTCAGGATGTGACCTCAGAAACCCATTCATCATGCATGCTGAAGTTCTCCATTTCTTAGTGGATCCAAATAAATTCTTAGGAAGTGTCTGCCCTTATGATCCCATGGACACTTTGCTGAAAACAGCACTATTATCGCAAGTATAGCTCATCTGGAAACCACGTGCTCAAACATAAGCTGAATGTAACTCAGAGGCTGGCTGGTGTTCATCTTTCCCTAGGAAACTAAGGCATGCTATCACTGAGAGAGCGGTCCCTCTGCACCAGCAGAGCCCCAAGGGTCTGACACGTTCAGCTGGTCCTCATACCTTGTGCCCTGCAGACACGGCCCAGTAAAGGCAGGTGTCCATCACTCACTCACACGCACACTCTCTCACAAACACACTCACGTCCCCGCCGCCTGCTCACCCTACCTTTGGCATATTCATATCATCCATGAACACTATGAGGCGCTTCCCCATGGGTGGGCCGTATGTGTCTTTGGTCCTTTTTTCCACACTGGCTTCTAAGTTTCTTTGGATATCCAGGGACGTGGTGCGGGATGAGAAGTTGACTATCAGCACAATCTGAAATGAGGTTGTTTGGAAAGTCAGTCTTGTCTTCAAGGTAGCGCAGTAAATGCTGGAGCATACACTAAATCTCATCGAGTTTGTAAACTCATGTTAGCTGAGCTAACATTTTTATAACCCGAGGTGAGCTTAAACTTTATTTCTATTTGCTCCTTGGTTTGTTTGCTTTTCAGTACAGATCCCTGAAACAGGCTGAAGGAATTTTTGTCAGTGTTGTGGAAGGGAACCGGGGTGATTCCCATCCCTGTTTGTCCGAGATGCCCCTGGTTTTAGCTCTGAAAGTCCTGCATGGCAGCAGGAGGGCATCCCTTTCCAGAAAGCGCAAAGTCCGAGTTTTCACAATGGATGCAAAAGATGAATGAAAATGCAAACCCCGTAAATTGTACCCCCAAATAGGGGCCGAAAGCAGCACTGGCTTTAGTGTCAAATAAATATGGCACAAAGTACCCCCACTCCACAACTGGCGTTGTCACCGAGGACACGCAGCTCATGAGAGCGGGCCGTCAGTTGTTGCGTCACTCCAAGAGAAGCAACTTACGTCAGCAACTCAGCGCAGTATGATGGCGCGTTTCACAGGCTGGTTTTAACTTTTAGGAGACAGGGGGGCTCCCTGGGCTAAGCATTGGGCTGCTAACCCAAAGGTTCATGTTTTGAACCCACAAACTACTCTGTGGAAGAAAGATGATACAGCCTACTTCTGTAGAGATTTAGAGTGTCAGAAAACCAATGGGGCAGCACTGTGGATTAGGGTCGTTTGCCTGTGGATTAACCACTGTGCTCTGTATAGACATGTTGTTGTTAAGTGCCGTCAAGTCGGTTCCGACCCATAGCTACCCTGTTTCCAAGGAGATGCTGGTGAGCTTGAACCGCCAACCTTGCAATTCAAACGGCTTTGTAGTCTGGCGCATTAACCCACAGCGCCACACCAGAACTCCCTGTATAGACATAGAGCTGGCTTAATGTTGTGTAACTCCGACCCTCCTCTCCTCTCCTCCTAGGCCCTGGTACCCACTAAACCTCTTGTGTCATAATGGATTTGCTGTGTCTAGATATTTCAGGAAAGTGGAAGCATGCAGTGTTTCCACAAGTACCTCATTATGTTGCAACTGCTGCAGCAGGAACAAAATCATCAAGTACTTGGGGATTTACCACATAAAGTACTTGGAGGAATACCACACGCTTCCACGTTTGTAACTGCTAAAGTGGGAACAGGAGTCTGGTGTCGTGCTGTAGGATAAGCACTGGACTTCTAACCATAAGGTCGGCAGTTCAAAGCCACCAGCTGTTCCTTGGAAACCCCATACAGGGTTGCTGTGAGTTAGAACCGACTCCGTGGTGCTTCACAACAACAACAAAACAGAAAGAGCTCCTTCCTACTGGCAGGTGAAGGAGCCAGTGATGGGCTGCCACATCTGGGCCTTGGAAGCAGCTGCGCTCAGCAGCGGTGGGTCTGGGCGCTGCTGGTTCTAGCTAGGGGACCTCAGCCTACCAAAAGGGAGGCTAGGGGGTGGGGGGTGGGTAACAGATACGTGGATGGATGGAGAGACATTTGCACAGCTGGAAGGATGAACAAATTAATGGATGAGTGGAGGAATGAATAAATATGTGGTCAAGTGGATGGATAAACAGATGAATGGACAGATGGGTAGATTGAGGTCAGGCAGTGGGAAGTAGAAGCAGGGCATACACTGTACCAAAAGGAAGGAGATATTCTTGCTTTTGTTGTTGTTGTGAAGTGCTGTCGAGTCAGTTTCCAATTCATAGCATCCCTGTGTAGGGTTTCCAAGGAGTAGCTGGTGAGTTTGAACCATCAGTCTGGTGGTTCAAAGTGACCTTATGGTCCAGATCATTACCCTACAGCGCCACACCAGGACAAAAATACTAAAGTGCTTAGAGAAATATCGAATGATTTCACTTTTGTGAAACATCTAGAAAAGTCTCTTAGGTCTGCAGAACTTGGTTTCCCTCATCGATGTGGTGATTTTAGTGACACCCACCCAGCTGACTTCACAGAAGTCTATCAGATGAGAGGAAATGCACAAAGCCATCCTGAGTCTGGAAAAGGAAGCTTCAAACACAAGTGACGGTGGGTCAAGCCCTCGGATGCTGGCAACTCTGCCAACAACAGAACGCAACCTCACAAGAGACCCCAAGCTGGAGCTGTTCAGCTAAGCCACTCCTGGACCCCAGACCCACAGAAGCCATGCTAAGTCATTACGTTTTGGGGATAATTTGTTCCATAGGCATAGCAAACGAATACAAACAATGACTTACATTCAGCTCTTCGTTCATATTTTTGAGGAAGTTCTGTGTGGTGGCGGTCTTAGATGTACCAGATTCACCAACCAAAAGAACAGGCTGCTTAATTTTAACCACTTGCTCCAACATCCAGGTTGTGCGGGTTGTATCCACTGTGTGAACTAAAAAGATGAAGAATGTTAGCATCCCAGGAAGTCCAAGTACTGTGCGTATTTGGAAACTTGGAGTTTCAGAGAATCCATAGAGAGCATCAATAGAAAGCCTAGATGTGGCCTTGGAAATGCCTATCTGGGGAACACCGGAGGAGAACTTCATTGTCTGAACCATCATTGCTCAGAGCTGTATTGGGCTGCAGCTTATACCCCATAAAGTTCACTCAATTAGGGTGCATCATTTGATGAGGTGGGCACATCTCCACTTGTTGGGCATCATGACCACGATCCAGATTCAGAACACCCAAGTTGTTCTTCATTTGCAGCTCTGTGTTCTACTGGGAGTAATAGACACTCTCCTTCTCCGATGGTTACGTCATTCATACACCCACAGAATTTGGCTTCCTGACCAAACAAATTCCTCTGAGGAGAGCAAACAGCCACACATCACACTTGGCTCACGACTACCTAGGGCGCTTATGGTCCTATTTGTTCCTGAGAAATAGCAGTGTCTTACTCCCTAAGATAATGGATACAATCGTACACATGGGGGATGGCTTCAGTCCACAGTGTAGCTAAGCAGCCAGAGCAGTTTGGTTAGAATACACAGAATGCAGCGCACTGTGCCAAGGCCCCAACACAAGGCTTGTCAAGGTGGCGCTGCTTACAAAGCACTATTTCATTCTTCTCTGCTCCTTCCCACACCAGGCCAGCTCTGCGGTGGGAACGGTGGGAGGTGGGAACGTGAGGGAAAGCACCTGCCCCGGTAGAGTGCTGAGCATCTCAGACACTGAGCACACTCACAGAAAAGGCATCAGAGGTCACACCCCAAAGGCCACGCAACCGCTCTCACTCCTCACCAAGACTGAACCCTCATCCGCCAAGGCCCGGGCTCAGCCCCGCTTACCCAGGATGTCAACAAATTTCTTCTCAGGAACATGAATGTACTCTGGAACTAGTCTATTCCATGGGATCCACTTCTTCTGTTTGGAATCAAAATGAAAGTCGTACAAGGTTGGAAGCTGGCCTGTGGAGAACAACAGTCTGTTTCAAGGTGATCAAACGCTCGGCAAGGCGGCAGCCAGCTGGTTCTCCAAGCTGCCTGCTCCGTCACTGGCAGATGCTTCACAACGTACCTAGAATGAGCGGAAGTGCTCATGGATCGTCCCTGTACTGGGATGTGCATGCTTCCTGCCCTGACACTGCTGGGAGGTCAAGCGGAGAGAGACAGTGGCCAGTAAACAGGCATTTAGTTCAATGCAGAGTGCTTCCTTCTACGACGGGAAGGGACAGGAGCAATGGGTGTGCAACCAAGATGGGGTGGGAAAGAGGCCTGGGAAGATGAGTAGTCATGAGTGGGCAGTTTGGGAAGCCTTAGTCCTTCAAAGGCGGGGTGCTACGTAAGCCCGGCTCGAAGGCAAGCTCCTCACGCAGCCTCTCCCGACAAGCTACTACCTTCACTCACTGCCCCTGGTTTTAAACATTTGGAGCCAACACTGTAAGGAAGGTGTGGTGTTGTGGTTGTTGTTGTTAGTCAGTTCCCACTCATAGAGACCCTGTGCAGGGTTTCCGTGGAGTGGTTGGTGAGTTTGAACTGCCAATCTTACAGTTCAAACTGATCTTTAGGTTTAGTGCATTATCCCACCGCACCACACTGGGACTCCAAAGACAGTGTGTTGTTGTTGTTGTTAAGTGCTGTTGAGTCAGTGCAATCCATAGTGACCCTGTATAGGGTTTCCGAGGAGCAGCTGGTGAGTCTGAACCACCTTGAACCTTGCAGTTCAAACCGAACTTACAGTCCAGCACATTAACCCACAGTGCCACACCAGGACTCCATGTGTGTGTGTGTACATAATGTGTCTATAATATATACTATATATATTTTATATATATATATAATGTATCTATATATACGTACATATAAACATACATAAAACAGAAGTATACATAAAATGAAGGTGGTGTTGGTTAAAATAGTGCCCCACCGAGTATCATGTCCACTCAGAACCTCAGAATGTGATCTTGTTTGGAAAGGTCACTGCAGGTTCAGTGAGTTCAGATGAATCCATTCTGGATCGGGGGAGGGGGGGTTCTAACTGCAATGACTAATGTCCCTTCACAAGTAGAGAAGAGACTCTGAAACACACACAATGGGAATCAGATACTGGGGTAGCATAGCTACAAGCCAAGGAATGCCTGGGGCTTTCAGAAGCTGGAAGACACTAGGAAGGACACCCTTCTCCCCCCACCCCACCCCCAAGCTTTCAGAGGGAGCACAGCTCCGCTAACACCCTGGTTTTGAACTTCTCCAGAACTGGGAGAAGATGTATTTCTGCTGTGTGAAGCCATCTAGTTTGGGAGAACTTGTAATGGCAACCCCTGGACACTCCTGCAGAAGGTTTCTCAAAGGAAATACAATGCAGTCGGAGACCTGAAGGATCAGTAATCCTGGCCTGAGAGAAGTGAGGCAGCTGGGAGACTGTAGGGAGAACAGAACTTGAGAGAAGATTCAGAGGCAGTGGGGAGAAGGAGGAAGGGAAAGCAGTCCGGGCCTGAAGCATGGGGCAGAAAGGCCACAGGGTCATGTCATCAAGGGCCTGGTAAGCCACTGTGACGTGCTCCTTCTCCACCCCAAGGGCACTGGGTCACTGGGCCATTAAAGCAGGAGACGTGATCAGACTGGCCTTTACGGAAGGTCAGTTTAGCTACCATGGAAAGATGGCTTTGAGGAGCTGAGAGTAGAGACATGGTGGTTTGTTGGGGAGGCTCCTGTCTGGTGGGGAGGAGCGACAGGAACCATCCGAGAGAAGCTGAGGGGTAGAGCCATCATGACTGAGATGATGGGGCCTGAACAGATCGTCCAGGCAATGATCCCAGAACTCATCGAGACGCTTACCTACCTGCCAGGCCATGTTCAAGTGGCAGTAAGAGATGAAAAAGGAAGGGTTCTAACATGTCTACATATGTGGCACATGGAGTCCTGGTGTGGAGCTGCACGTTAATGTGCTGGGCTGCAAAGTCTATTTCAACTGCAGGGTCCTCGGAAACCCTATACAGGGTCACTACAGGTCGGAACCGACTCGACAGCACTTCACAACAACAACATGGCAGCCCACAGTATAACCATCATTTTTGTCAACACCATAATTCAAACGTATTAATTCTTCATTGGTCTTCCTGATTCACTAGCCAAAGGACAATCAAGAAAATGTAGACATTTAAATATATACATGTTGTTGTTAAGTGCCATCGAGTTGGTTCCGACTCACAGCAACCCTGTATAACAACCCTGTATAGGGTTTCTGAGGAGCAACTGGTGAACTTGAACCGCCAACCCTGTGGTTCAAACCAACTTTGCAGTCCAGCGTATTAACCCAAGCACCACGCCAGCACTCAGTGGACTACCATGAGAACAACATGTATATATTTAAATGGAAAAAGTAAAGCCACAGTACTCCTTAGCAGTAAGGATGGCAAGACTTCGTCTCATGTACTTTGGGCACGGTATCAGGAGAGACCAGTTCCTGGAGAAGGACCCCATGCTTAGTAAAGCACAGAGTCAGCAAGGAAGAGGAAGACCCTCAGCAAGATGGACTGACGGCGGCTGCAACACCGGGCTCAAGGCCAGCAATGACCGTGAGGATGGGGCCGGACAGCACAGTGTAGTTCTGTTGTTCACAGGGTTGCCGTGAGTCAGAACCAACTCAACAACAAGTGCAAACACAGTCCTTTGACAATGCTTATTTTCCACAGGGAAAAATCTAAAGCTTAATATGATTATTTCCTAAGTAAGCTAGAAATCAGAGCTGGGCAAATACTCAGGAAAACAGCAGATGAATTAAACTGTGGAACTTTAAAGAGAGACGGTTATAAAACATAACGGAGCCAGGGAGAAGACACTGAAAGTCACGCATATTGCGCAATAGACAGAGCTTGAACATAGAGAAGGAAGAAGAGCCTTCATGCAGGTGAGAGGGTTGCGCCTTCACAGAGAGGCCATTCCACTGACTTTGGCTCCCACAGAGCAGATCACGTGCTTTACCTTCTCCTGGGGGTTCTACCAGATGCTCCAAACATGAGGCACGTTTCTCTACAAAAGCAAACGAGCTGGAAAGCCCATAGAGGCATAAATATGGAGAAGGAAGGTCTCACACAGAACTCTCTGAGCAGAACAAAAGGCACTCCACGCTTACCTGGCAACTCCCCAGGACCGGCCCAGACACCATCTGTGTCAACGGCAGACAGAGAAGCCAGGCGTTTAACACTCTCATCAAATTTCACCCTGCCCTCCTCCAACAGGCAGGCCCCCAGGGAGCAGTAGAGCGCCTCGAGGAAGAAGCATTCCAGGAGGTCGGAGTCTTCGATTTCTCCTTCTAGCAACGCATCCAGCATCTTGGTCAGCTGGGTGACCTGGTTCACAGGAAAACACCTGGTTGAGAACATAGACTCGAACCCTAAGTGGTCATTTCCAGTCATAAACCCTAGGAACCCAGACCGCAGAGCAACGGGAATGTATTTTTTTTCTGCTTTTTTTTTTTTTTAAGTTGCTGGTATATTGAATCCGACCCACAGTAACTGCATGTGTACACCACAGAGCTTCCAGAAGCAAATGAGCAACCCAGGTGCTTCCAAGGTACCTCTGGGTAGGTTTGAAGAGTCAAGTGCTTATCCATTTGCACCACCTGGGGACATGGGCCACTCTTATTGTCAGACAAAGTCCAACATCTTATCTTGCACAGTGTCCCAAAGGGAAGTGCCCGTATGTTCCATGATGACTAAAACCTGGACTGCTCCACTTGAGCTAAAGAGCCCACTGTGGGTCTGTCTACAGTGAAGCAGTTCTGTCTGCCAACAACAGTGATCCTTTCTTACCATGTTGAGGTCTGTCTGAGGAACGATCGTCTTCAGCTTCTCTCCTTGTCGGCCGTCCACTATTCCTTCCACGATCACACTGATGAGATAGGGCACATACTTCTCAAAGAGACGCTGTAAATCGCCTTGCTCTGTCTATAAAAGAGGGGATCCCTGAGCAGTCTCAAGGGCTCGTTCTGTTTCTATGAAAGGGAGTAGAAAGCTTTGCTTCTCCAAAAAGAAGAAGCTCCTGAGGAATGATCATTGGGGTGATACGTAAACCATGATCATGATGCCAGATCTGTGGAGAGATTTGGCTTCTACAGTATACTGTCAGTTGATTGTGAAGCATTTTGCTTCATTGCCAGGAGCCTGTCTCTCGACCCTGGGAGCAGGGAGGAGGGATAACAGATCCCATTTGACAGTAGTGGGGGACTGAGCATCTTAGCGTTCGGGTAACATGGGAGGACCCTCTGCTGATGCATCGGTCACAGCAGGGACTGTGTGAGTCCTCAGACAGCTCCCTCTCCCACGACAGCATGGCAAGTGGCCCTGGTCTCTTTCCTTCGTTTCCTCTTATGTGCAGGTTTCCAGTTCCTTCCTCACCAGCTTGGTGGCCCTTGTAGAGGATGTGGACAGGGTGTCCTGCATGTGGCCAGGCCACCATTCTACACAGGGGGTTCTCACAGCCTCTCAATGAAGCCTACCATTGAGCAAACACACGTTTTCTAGGAGCCAAGCGAGAGCCAGTGAAACATGACAAGATAGGTCCTTCGCACTGCACTGAATGCACTGAACAAGTGTGAGGTGATGGGCACCTCCCGGAGACGTGCCTCTCAACAGCGGGTCGTGTCTGAATCAGAGGCTGCAAAGGGGTGTCCCATGTCAACTGGCCTGTCATCTGGGTTTATTAGGGAGGTTTTATTGGTAAACAGCTAGGCCTATTCATTTACTTACTGTCGATGGCTGCCTTAGGAAACAATGGCAGAATTAGGCAGTTGTAAAAGAAACTATATGAGCCACAAAGTCTCCAATGGTTACTCTTTGCCCTCTCACAGAGCGTTTCCCAACTCTTAGTCTAGACCATGAAATCACGACCTAATCCTGCCGGCTAAGAACTATATGGAAATATCCTGACAACCATGTTTTCATCCAGTATGCTGATGAGAGTGTTGAAGTGTTCAAGGTCATGGGCAAGTCAAGGTCATGCCTTCCAACTACAAACATGCCTCCCTCTGAGTTATGTTCACCCAACTTGCGTAACTTTCCGTTCATTTTAGAAACACATTTCACCTTGTTCTGTATTTGATTGACCCATTTTTTCCAGTATGGCTCGTATTTCAAGTTCTTTGGATCCACATAAACCATCCCACATCGAGACACGGTGGCAGGAGACGCATATTGTAAATCTCCAACCTGGAGAAATTTGACAAGAAAAAACATCGGTCATGCCTACAGGCTTTTGAACTAAGGGCCTTGTCTTACACAAAGTTTTCTCAGGTGCATAAAAGCTAAGGCCGCTTTTGTGTGCAACTCCTACTCAAGGATTCCGGTGTGTAATGGGAAGGCTATCACTATCACGGCTCTTCAGTTTCCTCTTACTATAAAATGCATGTGAAACATTCCTACAATATGGGATGCTGTTATTTTTAACTGCCTGGGAAAAATCAAAAGGCACAAAGAAGAAGAAGAAGAAAAAAAAAATCCTACCACACAAAGCAGAACCACCACAACAGAAACAATGAGAATGTTCACGCACTGTGAAGACCACAGCCAAGGACAATGACCAACGTCTGCAGACCTTGTGAAATGCGGTACACCTCCACCGGAAATACAATAAAACACTGTTTACAAAAAACCCCACCACACAGTGACAAACATGGTCTTGCAGAGTTCTGTTTCCTCCCTTCAGGTTTTTCTCCTCTATATTTTTTATATATAGTTAAGATCACATAGTATGAAACGTAATAAAGTATTCATTCAAATCAGCATGATTAACTCCCTTGTCACTCTCTCTCTCTGTATGAAAAAGAGAAACATTTCAGTCAGTCAAAGACTCATTTTGCTGGCTAAGGTAAGAAAGTCATTCTTCTTAAAAGAACCCCCAGGGTCACAATTGTGACTCAGGCCCTGAAGGCATGTGCTCGGTATCACAACCAGGGTCCTTATTCCATACTGTAACCAGGAGATGGAAGTCTGGGGTGGGGGTCGGGGGTAGTTCTCTAAAGAAGAAAAAGGGAGACTCAACAGACATTTGTTTTGACAGAAATTTTGAAGAAGAAATAAGGATAAGATAAAGGCAGAACGTGTGAGATGAAAAGGAAAGCAATTAGAAACTCCGGGTAAAACAAACGGCTCTCAGAGAAAGCACTCCCAGCATACTAGCTGGTTCTGGACGAAATTATATTGTCGTATTCATCCATGTTTACTGATGACTGATTTAATAATATATTGTTCTGAAGAAGAAAAGACGATATAAGACATGAATCCTGACCCTCATTGCAGCCAACCAACAGATAATATACAAACTTGGTAAAGCAGAAATAGCACGCTGAACATATTTATTACCTATACTATGGAAAGCATTCAACCCAAGAGTGACAAGGAGCTGCCTCAAGCATGTAATAAAGATGGAAGAGGGTACCAGGAAAAAAGCAAGGAGTTTTAATCATGATAAACTTCTGTATTATGCGACTGAGATTGAGGGATTCATAAGTGAAAACTGAAGAAGACAGAAACGCAAGAGGTAAATCCACTGCCTTCAAAAGAAACGATGGAACAGGAGGAGCAGGTGGGCAGGTGGTAATGGAACAGCCCCGACATGCACTGAGCATTCCACAGGCAGTGCCTTATTTTCCTCCTTTTAATTCTGTAAGATGCAAAGGGGTTGGATTGTGTTTAAATGACTGTGCTGCCCCTATTCACATCCAAGACTTGAGAGCAACTGAAAAGGAAGGCGGCGCCTGCCACTCCCATTGGCCCTTCTGGCTGGCAGGGAAGGAAAAGGAATTTGTATGTTGAAGGAAGAAGCTGGGTGGGACGACAACAAACAAAATAAAGCCAGTAAAAGCAGAGCTGGTCCTAGGTGTCCTGCAGGTGTAAAGCGGCAGTTTAATCAGGGTTCTACTCTTTTGTTCAAATAATTTTAATTATTGGAATGCACAGTTTTTAATATGCAAATAAAGAGTTTTAAAACCTGAAAGGAAAAAAAAAAAAAAAGCTTGAGTTCAAAATTAGTTTTACTCACTACTTGCCTCAAAGAGGAGAGCACAGTGTGCTTGAAGGCGAATCCTTTCCCCGTTGGCCAACGTCAACAGCTTGTTGTCATCCATCACGGAGTTCATGTTCTCCACCCACAGAGCATCCACATCACCATCAAATAAAATGTACCTGTTGTAACCACACGACACTGAGCCATGGCTTCCAGAAAACCAATCCCCCAGCTCACTGCTGGGTCAAATCCAACTCACAGCACCTTAAACAAGGTTTGCTGAGACAGAAAGTCTTGACCGTAGCAGACAGTCTCACCTTTCTCCCTTAGAGTAGCTTGTGGGTTTGAATTGCTGACCTTGAGGTTAGCAGCCCAATGCCTACCCCATGACACCGCCAGGGCTGCCAATTAGGAGCTATGGTGCCTTTAATTTACTTATCTGACTCTTCTATTCAAAGTCTTCTTAATTCCCACCAAGTGAGTGGAGGGGACATGAAAACAAGGTATACAGGACTCTAAGGCTGGGATGGGTTCACGTTGCCATCCAGTTAGGTTTAAAAGAAGTCATCGTAGAAGCAGTAAAAGATGACCCCAGGACCATCCAAAGGAAGAGCATGAGTGGAGCATGAGACCCTTACCTGGAAAGCCAGTGACAACGGAGAAGGTGGCATGGAAGGACAGAGCAGCTGAGGGCTCTGGATCCATGGAATGAGTACAGCTGAGTGCCTATTGGCAGGAGGCATTCACAGACTGGCTAAAAGAGCTTGGTAACATTTGCCTGAACAGGGCAGAGGCCAAGGGGCCACAGGGCTGGGAGGCTAAAGGCAAGAGTGAGGCATGTCTGCAGTACTACACAGAAGAGGCATTTCTGACTGGAAAATAGCTGCATCTTCAGTTGGTTTTGATCCTGTTCACTTCCCTAACGATTATGAGTATTGCTATGAATTCTGTGTGATCTTTGCAGTGGAGTGTCGAACCCAGCTGTGTAGCAGAGAATGCTGTGGGAGGGATGGTTGGTGTCAGAAGAGGGTGAAGAAGGGTGTAGGGTGAAGGCATGTATGACTTCCACTTCATGATCTTGAGTTTGATTCTCTTTTCCACTTGTGAAGTCAGGGGAAGTCACACGACGTCCCCACTTGGTTGAAACATGAACCTGTGTTTAACACCATTTGTGGAATATCATTTCCCTAGGTTCTGTAGCCAAGATCTGAGACTGAGCACCCTACTTTATTCAGAACTTTGGCCTACATGACATAGAAACGCTGTTTTCATTGTTGTTGTTAAGTACCATCAAGTCAGCTACAGCTTACAGCAGCCCTGTATAGGGTTTCTGAGGAATGGATGGTAACTTTGAATTGCTAACCGTGAAGTTCAAACTGACCTTGTGGTCCAATGCTTTATCTCATAGAGCCACACCAGGACTCGTACTGTGGTAATAAGTTGCTGACATTTAAGAATCAGAAAACTTTAAATGACAATCTAGATTTCCTGTTTCTCTGGCTACCTGGCAGGTCTCCTAAGGGCCTGCGTTCTACATGGTAACAAACTGCAGAAGCTGAGTTGCCGTTTACACGGATTCTGACCAGTCTGGCTCTTCTTATGGCAAAGTCCAGATAAAAAGGGAAGCACTCCATGTACCCAGGTAACTGTTACCTGCTGGGGCCCTGGAAGCACCTGAGTTTACAACCCTGGTTTCCATCTGTCCTGACTGTAGATCTACTTTGGCTCCAAAGCCAAGTATTCCATCTACTGTTACTCTTCAATGAGCTACATCACAGCAAAGTTCACGCTCAAAGGTCAATTGCACCCTTAATTGTGATGGAATGGTGATTGATACGGCTTCCACTGAATTGACAGGTATAAATACAGACATTAGACATACATTGGAGATGTTGTGGGTTTGGTTCCAGACCTCCTCAGTGATACAAATATCACAATAAAGTGAGTTTCACCATTGTTTTCCTTCCCCGGTACATATAGAAATTATGTTTACATTATACTCAGTGTACAAGAACATGAAGAAAGTGTATGAAATATTGTGAGAATGATCAAAATGTGTCAACAAGACATGAAGTGAACACATGCTACTGGGAAAATAGTGCCAGCAGACTTGTTCAACACAGAGTTGTCACAAACCTATTTGTAAAACACACATTATCTGCAAAGTGCAATAAAGCAAAACTCAGTAAAATGAGGTAAGCTATAGTTGGATTTTCTGCAGTATTAACATTTTGAGGTGTTTTTTTTTTCCACCAGCATTTTTTTCTTTTTAAAATCTTGAACTTACAGAGTGACAAGAATAGAACAGTACAAAGAACTCCCATATACTTTTCACCCAAATTCTCTAGTTGTGGGTTTTTGTTTTTTTCTTCTAAATTTGTGTTTTTTCTCTCTCTTTGAATCACTGGACAGCAAGTTCTGGATACAATGTCTCTTTATTCCTAATTACTTTAGCATGTGTTTTCTAAAAATAATCTCCACCTTCTTATCTATAACCATAGTACAGTGATCAAATTTTAAATATTTAACATCGATGCAATACTCCTGTCTAATACATAGTTCACATTAATATTTCACTAGTTGTCCTAATAGAAAACCTCCAGTTTAGAACTATCGTAGGAATATTATAACCAACTATTGTCAATTGATACTAAACTGGTTGGCAAAGGTTTGATGAGAAACAGATTTCTACAGGCTAGACTTAGGGTATGTCCCCACAGACTGCATATCCTTTTCAGAGGGGAGAAAGGCAGACAGCACCGTATATGGATGATCGATGTTAGCCTCACCAAGCACAGGGCAAACCTGAGCCGTGTGCCTTTGAAGACATGACGTGAGGACAACACATCATTGCTGCAACACCGTTACCAAAGATGCAGTGGCTGCATGTGGCCCTGGGGGAGCATCAGACCCTCGCAAACTCAGGGCATTCTACAAACAACCTGGAGGTCAATACCGAGAAGGTAACAGAAGCCTGAGACACCACTCAATTATGCCCAACAAGTATCAGTCAGCTTGATGACTAATACTCAGAGACGTAGCAGTTACGTAATTGTGCAATTTGGCAGCTAAGCCATCATGGGATGGGATAGCCAATCGATTGTAAGGGGACTGCGGTGGGATGTAATGGATCGAATATTGCAATACTCAGCTCATAGTCTTGATTTAAGGACTATGGCACCTCTCATCTTCTAAGTGCCGTCAAGTCGGTTCCAACCCTTATATAGGGCTTCCGAGGAGCGGCTAGTGAGTTTGAACCATTGCCTGTGGTTCAAACTGACCTTGGGGTGGAGTGCTTATCGTACAGTGTCACACGAGGACTCCACTTTTTATCTCACAAGAAATAAAAGTAGAGAGATGCAAAGAACTAAGAAGAGAAGTACGAAGAACAAAGGGTCAGGAAACAGAGTGCATCCTTTGAAACTAGGTTCCCTATACTGAGACCCTCCTATACCGAGGGGAAGATTCCTGCCAAGACCCATGTAGATCTCCAAGGACTCCTGGGCCCACAGATGTTGAAAGGAGGCCAAGCTCTTCCTCCAGAGACAAGGATAGAGACAGAAAACCTCCCCCTAGAGCTGACACCCTGAAGGTGAACTTCCAGCTTCCTAAACTGTGAGAGAATCAATTTGTTGGTTAAAGCCATCCGCTTGTGGTATTTCTGCTAAACAGCACTAGACAATTTAGACAGCAAAGAGAAGGGCAGCTGTTCACAATGTGAGGTCCTGGCGTGAATCCAGGATCAGGGAACGATTGCTAAAGACGGTTTATCCTAAAAGACATGAGTGGAGCTTACAGAACTGCCAAACAATTGGAAGCAATCAAGACGTTTTTTCAATGGGTGAATGGATAAGCACCTAGTACATCCATACAATACTCACATGTGGTGATAAAAAGAAACGAGCTACCAAGCTACTGAAGAGCACAGACTCACTCTAAGTAACCGCATGCTGTTAGGTGAAACAAGTCAGTCAGATAGGGGCTGTACAGTATAACACCAACCACGTGACAGTCTGGAAAAGGCAAAGCTGTGGCGACAGGCCCCAGGTGCCAGGGGTTCAGGAAGAGCGGAAGACGGATACGCAGGCAGAGCCCAGGGTATCTTACTGTGATGGCAGACACGTGGCATTATGGCTTTCCAAATCTCACAGGCCTGTCTAACCCAAAGAGTCAAGCCTACGTTATGACCTTAGTTATGACCCTGTACAGACAGACCTTGGGAATAAGGAGGGTTTGGTTCCAGCGTGTCACACAAAGGTTTTGGGTTCCTGTTGTTGTTAAGTGCTGTCGAGTCGATTCCAACCCATAGCGACCCTGTATAGGGTTTCCAAGGAGTCGCTGGTGAGCTTGAACCACCGACCTTGCAGTTCAAACAGCTTTGCAGTCTGGGGCATTAACCCACAGCGCCACACCAGGCCTCCTAGTGCATGAGAAATAAAGACTACACTAGACTGTCCAAGGCTGTCAGCTGCTCCGTGGAAGAAATGTGAGGCTTTCTGCTCCTGCAGAGATTTACTGCCTTGGAAACCCTGTACAGAGCTGCTATGAGTTGAAACCAACTCGACAACACTTAACAACACCAACCTATTAGACTGTAATCTATGAAGTGTACAACAGCTTTATGAAAAAGTTTGAAATATTATGAGAATGGCAAAAACTGGATAAAGAGATGCAAAGTGAACCACGTGGTGATGGAAAAATTGTGTTAGCAAACCTTCAATTTGTAAAAACTGCAATATCTGTGGCATGCAGGAAAATGACATGTGCCTGGACCAAAAACTTTCTGGAAAATGGAATTAAAAGAGGACGGGATTTTTTCACACCCTTTTTTAAGACCCTTGTATTGGCCCATTTGTTTTAACGAAGGTACAAACCACATCAATGCAAGATGTGACCCTGTGACCCGGGGAGACAACGTCTCCATGGCTTATCTCTGTACTTACTGCCCAGGTTTTCTATAAACCTCACACTGTGCCCAAAAATAAAGGCCAGTTTTAAAAGTCATCAGTCTGGAACTTCAGACTTTTGTTATTTACGATTTTTTATTTTTATTTTTTAACCTGTCTTTTTTTTTTCAATGTGATTTGATGAGTGAGTTCAAGTGCCTGACCTGGGAGCAGGTATCCTCACCTCCCCAGGGCTGGGTTTCCTCTGAGGTAAGTAAGACGAGGACTACCTCAGTACCAGCCACGCCAGGTGACTGAGAAACACTGGTCCAGGGGAGGCTACAACTTCAGAAGCAGAGCCTCTGGGATTTGAATCTCAGGTCTGACAGGGCCCAAGCAGGACCTTCCAAGACAACTCTACATCTTGCCATACTTGTAATTCTAATTAACTAGTACTGACAACCCTAACTAGTACTTGCAGTTCTAATAAACTAACAGCGATTCCAGGAGAAGACTCTCGCCTTCATTTCTGGCCGATGCACCTGACACATAGCCATCACTCTTTGGTTGGAGGAGGCTTGCAGGTTGTTGTACTGCTCAACAGGCTTCAGCAGAACTTCTGACTAAGACTAGGAAGAAAGGTCTGGAGACACACACTTCTGAGCATCAGTCCATGAAAAGCCCTACGGCTCACAATGGTCCAATCTGTAACCGGTCACGGGCTTGGCACAGGGCCGGGTGGTGTACATAATAAGTAAGGTAGCCATGAGTTGGGCTGACTCAACAGTAGTGGGAAACAACACCATGAATGAACTCAGGCTCTTCCTTCCTCGGATACTCACTTGCGCTCCTGCTTATCCGTTGGCTTGTTGATCTCTCTGAAGATGTTTGACAGCACTCCGTCTGTCCAGTCCCGGGTGGAAGGATCCAGGATGCCGTAGAGTTCTATGACACTCACAGCTTTGGGGTTCAGGACGTACAGCTTTGTCAGCAGCCCAAGCCTAAATCAGAGAGATGCGTCAGCCGCGACAATAGGAGAATGATCTGACCGTCTGTGTGCGGAGTTGGTGTTACACTTGACTGAGGGTTTCAAGTCCAGTCCAAAATTCAAACCAGGTTCACAGTTACACTAAACATAACGGACCCATGATTCATTACAAACAGGGATTCCAACACAGACCGGATCTGAACTGAAAGGAGCTCTGCCTTCTGAAGGCAGCAGAAAGCTAATCTCATGTGACTTTCACACCCACGGATTCATAATGAAACCACTAATTACTCATGTAAACAGGGGCTTCCAAAACTCCGTGGTAAAATAACATTACCTTCTAGTTGTATCTTCCCACAAATCTTTTTGAAGCCCCTTCATGAATTACATGTTCATAACTATTGTTCTGTATTTTACAATTTGCATAAAATTTAAAACCAAACACAAACCCACCGCCATCAGGCTGATTATGACTCCAAGTGACCCTGGGGGACAGAGCGAAACTGACCCATGGGGTGCCCAAGACCACCATCTTTACAGAAGCAGCTGCCTCGCTTCTCCCTAATGGAGTGGCTGGTGGGTTTGAAGCACTGACCTCTAGGTTAGCAGCTGGGAGCTTAATCTCTGAGCCACCAGTGTTCTTCACCTGTGCAAATGTTTCCTGATTATTGGTGCATGGAACACAGTTCTCAAATACTCCATATCATAACTAGTCTAAGAACATGCAGATGATAATTTCATAGATACAAACATATAGGCATGTGATCGTTCTAGAAGTTACCAAACAAGGAATTAACCAGAGTCAAGAATGAGACGCAGGATGGCTGGGCATGGTCCACGGCCACCATCTACTGACGGCTTATACCCAAATCAGAACAAACGGCAATCACATAATCATAATCAATCAGATAATTTTATACAGTGGCACCGTGGGATAAACACTGGACTGCTAACGGTAAGACTGGCAGTTCAAACCCACCAGCTGCTTCCTCAGAAATCCTATGAAGGATCGCTATGGGTCAGAACCAACTCCACAGCACTTATACCAACAGCAATAACATCCAGAAACCGGGGCAGGTCAGTGTTCTGCACTTAGTCTAAATCAGCGTTCGTTAAATCAACAATGCAACAAGTAAAGACTGAGTTTGAAGGGGTGTTTGGACAGACTGACCCTGGCAAGAAATAAATCAGAACCGAGTGACACTGGGTGCTACTGCCACCGCCTCCCTGTGGAGATGCGCCCGCCATGGGGCCCACTCACTTGGTCTGGGCCTGGCACAGAGCATTGATGACCACGGACTTGCCCCCTCTGGTGGGCCCCACCACCATGGTCGTGTGACGTGTCAACATGGTCTCGAACATCTGAACCACTTTGTCCACCTATGGGGATGCATGGAGACAAGTGGTTACATCACATTAAAAACAAAACGAAGCACAAAAACAGCTTGGGTGAGGTATAATTCACATTCTCCGACAGCTCATCCACTCAGTGGAAAATTCCATGGTTTTCAGAATGTTCATAGCATGAGTAACCGTCACCAGGCCATGCTTGTGTTTGAGTCACTCCTGGGCCCTGTAGCGCTTAACGACCCCCGCCACAACGCTCAGCACACTTCCGATCGCCCTCTACCCTCGTCTACTTTCTGCCTCCTTGGATTTGCCTGTCCTGGACATTACACGGACATGGAATCGTACAGCACACCATCTCCTGTGACCAGCTTTGGTCACTCAGAATCATGTCTTCTAGGTCGGTACATGTTGCAGCAAGAATCAGAGCTCTGTTCCTTTTCATGGCTGAGTATTAGCCCACTAAGGAGTCAGGTATTAAGCTCTTGCTGCTCTCTGTAAGGCTGGTGGTTTGAAGTCCCCATCCATTCCATTAGAGAATGATTTATCAGTCAGCTCCCATTAAGATTATAGTCTTGGAAACCCTATGGGGCAGTTCTATTCTGTCAACAGGGCCACCATGAATCAGAAGCAATCTGAGGGCACACACCAGTAATGACAACACTATTTCGTTGAGTGACTTTATCCACCTCCCTTTCTCCTTTCATCTGCTGATGGACACTTGGGTTGTTTCCACATATGAGCAACTGCTAAGAGGGCCGCCATGAACACTAGTGAGCTAGTTTTGGAGTGGACATATTTTCACGTGTCCACTAGAGTGGAATGGCTGGGTCAGGTGGTAACTGAGGACCCTTCTGACTGTTTCCACAGTGGTTGCAAAATTAGACACAAGTTTATCAGTGGTTACCAGCGGCAAGGTGGGGGGTGGAAATGGAGAACCATTACTTGAGAGACACTGAGCTTCTGTCTGTGGGGGATGAAAAAGTGTTAGAAATGAATCATGGTGATAGTGGCACAGTGTGGTGAATGTCATTTATGTCACTAAATTGTACACTCAAAACTAGTAAAAATGGCAATATTTTTGTTATTCCCCACTAAATCTGCTAGTGTGGACTAGTCCAACTCAGAGACCCAACAGGACTGAGGAGAACCGCCCTGTAGAGTTTCCAAGGCTGTCAATCTTTACAAGAGCACACAATCTCATCTCACCCCTGAGGAGCAACTGGTGGGTTTAAACTGCTGACTTTGTGGTTAACAGCCAAGCACTTAGCTCTCTGTGACACCAGTGTTCTTCTTTTGGACATATACACACAGCACATATGTAAACAGCTATATACATGTATGTGGAGTCCTGGTGTGGCATTGTAGTGTAAGTGCAGGTCCATTAACCACAAGGTTAGTGGTTAAAATCCACCAACTATGCCTCAGAAACCTTATACAGTGTAGCTATGAGTTGGAACCAACTCGACAGCACTTACCACCAGTTTGCACGTATGAATATTTTTTTAACCACAATAATTTGTTTTAAATCCTACTCCAACAATATCTGATTAAATTTTATTAGCAATTGTGACTCTGGGGGAAAAGGGGGGCATAGAGAACAATCACCTGGTTGGGCTTCAAAAGAAGAGACCTGAGTCATCCAATGGCATCATGCCCTAAGATGTCCCTGAGACCCCTCCCGGCACCCTGGCTCACCTGCACAGGTAGGATGATGTAGCCATTGTCCTCCAGCACCTGTTCCACGGCATCATTGAAATCGGGGTAACGAACACGTGGGCAGTCCAGTCCAGGAAATAAATCAGAAATCAAGCCAAGGAAGAGAGGGACGTCTTCAAACACAAACTTGGGCAAGTTCATGTCTCGCAGAGCCCTCATCAGCACCACATCCTAGGAGAGATGGGACACGCTTGTTCTCACAGACGTTCCCACCGGGCTCTACCAGAGGCAAGTCGGGAAACCATCCTGTGAGAAGGATGGGAAGCATGGCAGTCTCCAAAGAAGAGCATGCATCTGCCAGCCGTGGAGCAGCATTCACTGAGCTGCACTGGGAAAAAACATTCTCTTCTTCTTGCAAAGAGGGAAAAAACAAAACCTCATGGTCATGCTCTAGTGAGAGGAGACAGCAGCCAGCACTGACCATGTTACTGGACTGAGGAGACTGAACCTGCCTGACCTTGAAGTAATGAAGTCCAACTCGAGGATAGCAATCATCATGAGTAAGAGAATAAATTAAGTCTGAACAACTCAATGAAGTGGCAGGCAAGACTTAATACTTGCATTGGGGACTGTTTGGTACGTCCATCCCAATATGTATTAAAGACACAAGCACCCAATGACCAGCCTGCGGACATCAGTGAACGGACCTACCTCCTGAAGTTCAGAGGAGCCCCTTTTCAGCTCACCAGCCATAACCAGCACCGACTTCAGGGCGCGGAGCCCAAAATCGTAATGATGTTGCTTGGAGAGTTGTTCCCGGGCCAGCTTGTACAAGACTGTCATCTTTTTGGCCAGAGTCTTTTGACAAAAGACAATATGGTATGGGGTGTTAAATAACATGGAAGCCACAGCATACTATCCTAGGAGAGGATGCAAGTGAGCAAACAGCAAGGTGCTGAAATGCAGCCACAGTAAATGAGCACATCCTCTCTATGAAGGTCAGAAACAGCAGAGTGGGGGTGGGAGGGTTATTAATGATGAAAAACTGGGAACCCATTTAAAGGAGTGCCTGCCTGGCCAAAATGTGAGCCCATGCCTAAAAAGCTATAGGAGATTGGAAGCACCGGAAATGAAGCATCAGGACACAACCCACTTTGAAATCACAGGGATCACACTTTGAAAACATGCTTCTCATTTCTGCTGAAGCAAACCACAGGCATGCCTCCCCCCTTCATGGTGCGTGGTGCAGACAGTGCATTGTGTACGAACTGAAGGGCTGTGGCAACCGTGCATTCAGCAAGTCTGCTGGCACCATATTTTCAAACAGTGTGTGCGTTCTGCATCCCATCTTGGCCATTCTCACAATACGTGTTTTCATCACGCTATTTACACACTAACAACCAACAGTCAAGAGTCAGTACTGCTTTCACACGCACTGGGAAACCAAATCATCCACGTGACTTGCTTTACTGCTACTTTTGTTGGGACTGAGCCAACGGGATCTCCCAGGTACGTCAGTATTAAAGTTCCTTCTGAAACCATTCCGAGGACCCGTCAAGAACTCAGAGCTTACTTGCTCAAGAGGTGGAGCGGACACTTTGGAAATGAAAGCTGTCAGTAAGAAGAGCCACCCACCCAAACTCCAAATCCTGACATGCCAGACAGAAGGAGCCTTTGTGTGTGCTTTTTAATGTTCCCGAAAAGCAAGCTAACTACCCTTTAAGATCAACGTATTGCCAATTTGGTACCTTTTCTTTTAACAGAAACTTCTGAAAAATGCATGTGCATACTTTTATATTAAACACACACAAAAGCCAGCCACTGCTGCTGATTCTAACTCCTAAGAACCCTAGAGTGGAATTGCTCCTTGGGGTTCCCAAGGTGGGTTAGAACCTCCAACCCTGAGGTTAGTAGTTCCACTTAACCCACTGTGCCACCAGGGCTCCTTAAGAGAAAGAGAGGATGTAAGGGAGAACTAGAAACCATAAGAGTGAGGACACAGAAACTGATGAAATCTGTACCTCAGGTACTGGCAGTGTACCAACACTGACTTCCTGGCTTTGACAATGTATAAAGTGACTTCAAAAGGGCATGGAAAAATTAGGTGACAAGATAATAGTATTTTTCCATGAACTTTTTGAAGCCTCCTCATATTATTATGGTTGTGTGAGGTATTCTGTCTTGTTGGGGGGAACTGGAGGAAAGGGACTCTGGAACTCTTTATTCTATTTATGCATCTTCTTGTGAGTCATAAATTGTTGTAAGAGAGACAGTGCTAGAGGCTGACCTTTAGGGCAGGTGGGGGCCTGGCAGCCACACGCATGCTCCACATTCACCTTTAGGGCGGGTGGGGGCCTGGCAGCCACATGCATGCTTCACCTTAACCTTTGGGGGGGTGGAGAGGGGTGGCCTGGCAGCCACACGCATGCTCCACATTCACCTTTGGGGGGGGTGGAGGGGTGGCATGGCAGCCACGCACATGCTCCACACTCACCTTGGCCCACAGGAAACCCTCCGAGAAAAGCATGATCTCACAGATTTGCTGCAGATCAGGCACGATCACGACCACAGGCCGAAAGAGGGCCTTCACCGACTCAGGCAGCTCGGTGCGGCCCGCATAGCCGGGGTTCATGGTGATGAAGATGCCCATCCGTGAGTCCAAGGAGATCTCCTGACCTTCAAACTGGACAACAGGAAGACAGGGAGGCTGTGGGCTAGCTGCAGACTCAGGAAGATGGCACCTTGGTCTCCCTTCCCTCTCCAAGTATCAAAGGCAGAGTCCTTTTGTTAAGGGCCAGGTCTGAGGGACTCAAGAGTGGACAAGTCTTAGGTGGCCCCAAACTCTCATCTAAGCCAAAGTCTCTCCACTGGGTAAAAGCTAACATCAGGGAAGATATTCAGACTGGAATGAGTTCAAGTCCTGCCACGTATCTGCTGTGTGACCCACAACAGCTTACCTAACCTCTCTGAGCCTTGGTTTTCTTTCCTGAAAAATCTACCCGGTAGCATGGCTGTCACAAATTACATGAGACAATATACACAGACCACCCAGCCCAACACTTTGCACAAAGCACATCTTCACTAGCGTTTGTTTCCTTTATGTTAGTCAGTTAATACAAACATAACTCCCACCATCATCATCCCCTTCCTTGGCCTGGGTGCCTGGACCTATTGGGGTTCCCTGTCCTAAAAAAACTGCACCTCAGCACCTTTCAAGAAACCGGTCTTCTTGCTTCCAGCTGTTCTAGGTGCCAACAAACTCAGGCATCTCTATACATGTGTAGCCTCTTTAGCCTGAAACTTACCCCTGTGGTGGCTTGTAGGTTACAGTGATATTGGACGCTACACTTCTAGTATTTCAGATACTAGCAGGGTCACCCATAGTGGATAGGTTTCAGTGGAGCTTCCAGAATAAGACAGACTAGGAAGAAAGGCTTGGCAATGTACTTTCTAGAGTTACCAATGAAGACTCAGGACATGGATGAACATTAATCTCCAGTATAGTGCTGGAGAATGAGCCCCCCCAAGGTGGAAGTTCCTCAAAGTACACAGTGGTCTCAAGCATGGATTCAACGACTGTCAGGCTCATACAGGACCGGGCAGGATTCTCATTCTGTTGGACGTGGGGTCACCAGGAGTCCGACCTGACTCCATGGCAGCTAACTACAACAACTGAGCCTCAATTGTACTTTCAGGACCTTGCTCTCTAGTACGACTCTGCTCCTTCCTTTCAGTTGCCCAGCGACTAGATGAAGGATGATTTTATATTGAAGGGGCACCGCTTGCCCCAGTGACCAGAGGGTAGCCTAACAAAGAGTCTACACTCAAGAGAATCCACAACACTCCCCAGGAGCCCTATAAGCCTACTCTCAAAAACACAGCTTCTAGAAAACGAACGTGTTTACAGGTTAAATGTCTCACCCATGGGAGCTGCAGTTTAGCCCTACAATTAGGTCTAATTCAAAAGAAGCATTTTTAACAATGTCCAGTGTACACAATCCCCTGACAAATGGTTCCAATGAATCTGGGGAGAAAGAAGGCAGGACACCATCGCTGACCCAAAACTGAATTTTGGCCCTGAGCCTTAAGAGGTAGGGTTTTGAAGGATGAATTCGAGTTTTTGGGTGAAGGGGAAGAATGGACAATTGCAGGAAGACCTATGGCATCACAGGTGTCTGCAGAGTGAGTGACGTGGAATGTCGCGAGTACAAGAGGTGCAGGGGCCCCCAGTGCAGGGAAATGGCCCAACCGTGCCCGTCTTTCTCGCCAAAAAAAAAAACACTTCTGGGCTGCCAAAATCATGCCACACAGTGGTGTTGCTCCAAATTTGGCTCCTGCTGCATCTGATGTAACTTAATGTGCGTTTCGCACACTTGAGTCTGTGCAAATATATTCAGTGGGGGATTTGGAGAGGTTGTTGTTAAATGTCATTGAGTCACTTCAGACTCATAGTGGCCCTGTACAGGGTTTACGAGGAGTGGCTGGTTTAAACAGATCTGGCAGTCCGGTGCATTAACTCAAAGCACCGTACCAGGACTTGGTGAATTCTCCAAAACTGCTAACCTTTGCTTTGTTTTTCTACTTTGATAATAACCTGAAACATCGCACTCATTAAAAAATAAGACAACAATTGTAGTTCACTGCGTGCTCTGCAATTGAAAGACATTTCTGATTGAGTGAAATTATTCTTTTTTTAACTGAGTTTGTCCTCAAATGTGGGAAGTAGTCAGGAGCATGCATACTTTTTCCTCAAAAGGAGGTCCTGAATATCATGGATGGATAACATGGTCACACCTGGCTTTTAATGACAAGTCATGTGTCTCGAACTAGTGTGAGGGCCTTGAACTACTCCAGTCTCTATGTCTCCAAGAGGATAGTCTTTCAGGGAGATGTGACCACCTCAGTTTGAGAACCAGTCTGACAAACTATCATCACAGAAACCTGGCTCTGGTATTTCACAGGTCCCTGGGGAATGTCCTGAGGAGCCTTACCTGGAAGGTGGTTAACTGGTGGATCAGAGCATTGCGGATTGTCTGAATCTGAGACGAAATCACCGAGAGCACAGAGGCATCAATGCGGTTAAATTCATCAAAGCAGCCCCACGCTCCACACTGGGCCAGGCCTGAGAAAATCTTCCCAACCGCCTAGGGGGAAAGAGATGCCCAGGCAGAGCGCTGTTGTCACTAACGCTGCAAGGGATGCGTTTGTGAGCAAACGGCATAAATCAAAGCAAATCACAAGACATTTAGAATGGCAGCAAAGCAGCCCGATACCCACCCAACTAAGATCTTTCTGGCAAGATCATGAATAAGATTTTAAGAATCAAGGATCTTCATGTGAAATTTGTCATTTCTGGCTTCTCTTGAGATATTAGAAAATCAGCAACACTGGACTCACTTCTCCATTGGCAGTAACTGGCCAAAACCAAATGTGGTGCCCTCTTCAGGCAGAGCTCAATGTGGCATCCCCTTTAGGTGGAGAAGTGGTGTTCTCCAGTTGGCCGAAGTTCCTACCCCTCTCTATTGTTTATGTTGATGGCGTCCCATTGACATTATCAACCTGACCCTTGTAGGCATTTAAGCTTGGGGTTCTTGCTTTACTAGTGAAACCATTATTTGAGTTCTAAGACCCTGGAAATGGAAGGTTTTCGACTGCATTCTTCCAACCACACCACATCATTTCACGGGCCATTGTGAGTTGAGCTGTCCTCCTGTCATGGACACTCTGAGCTCTCTGCCTAATGAGATCAGACCCAAAGTGACACAAAGCCTTACTTTGTAATCCATGCCTTCACCACAGTTGGTCACAACGCAGAGCAGGCCCAAGGCTTTGGCGAGGTCCTTGGTGGTCTCTGTTTTGCCAGTACCTGCAGGGCCAGCAGGAGCCCCACCCAGATACATAGACAGCGCCTGTTATGTGACAAGTACCAAACACATGTTCTCTGATTCATGTATGGAAACAGGTGTCATTCCCAAGTTTAGCACTTTGACAACAGGTAAGAAGCACACGTACACATGTGAGAGTACCAAGTTCACCCACCCTGGTTGGCCATCACCAGTTTAAACATTCCTTTTCTGTGACTTTCCACTGACTCCTACCAACCCCATTATTCAGGGACCAGTGGACTAGGCAACAAACTGGACACTGGTTCAGTGACTGTTGTGAGGACGACGCTTCAGTGGCACCAGAGAGGATGTCCACGGGCACACATACCTCTGTGCAATCAAGGGTTAGCCTTGCTCAGAGAAAGGTTTGGCCCTTAGTCAGTTGGACCATATGCCAGATAGTCTAGAAATGTGATTTCTAGTAGGAACCCTGGACCATGCAGTATCATCTTGGTGATGGCAACTACAGTCAGTCACAAGGTCCTCAGCCATATCTACAAGACCAAACCTCCAATAAAAACCCTGGACACCCAAGTGAGCTCCTGTGATTGGCAATACTCCATGCCTGTCATCACACATCATTGCAGGAAGAAGTACGTGCTACCTGCACAACCCCACAGGGAAGGGAACAACTGGACACTCCCCACCTGGCCTCTTTGGAACCCTATCCTGTGCACCTTTTCCCACTGCTGCTTTTGATCTGCATCTTTTCACTGTAATAAACGATTAATTGTGAGTCGTTTCAGCTTTGCTGGGTTCTGTAGCTCCTTCTAGTGAGTTACTGAAGCTGGTCTTGGGAGCCTCCCAACCCGGCCATTTCCCAAACCCAAACTGAGATGAAAATGGAGCCTCCTTTATGGAGCCAAGCAATGATACCCATTGCTACCACAATTACCGTAGGCATGCTTATAGAACAATGTGGACCCCAAGGTACATCATAACCACCTGAGTGAGAGTCAGGTAAATCCGGTCTGTGAGGGGGGTGATGACCAGCCTCCCGTTCAAGCCCATGTACTCGTAACCATAGCCGAAGGTTCCTGTGCACTGTCGGATGTTCAGTTCATCTGGTTCTCGGTCCCAGTAAAACCGGAGCTGGCTCTCCCATTCAAACTCACGGGCTTCGAGAATGCTACAGTAAGGTGAGAAACCGGGGAAGAGAGCAGAGGGAGGGAGTGTGATGACAGAGACAGCAGGTGTGAAGGTGGGTGGGGGATGGCGGAGAGAGGCCCAAGAACAACAAAGAACATTTCAGGAAGGTCCTCACCTGCCTCTTATGAAAGAGTCTACTATATCTCTGGCGTGCACATCGATGATGAGAACCGTGTTGTATTTCTTCCTGTCATTTTTGCTCAAGGGCATAGTGATCCGAGTTACCAACTCATCGATTTGGTGGTGCATTTTCTTGCCATAGTTCTTCATGGCCTGCGTTTCCCCTTCCTTCACTTTGCGGAAGACGTCTTCCACCTCCCAGGTCCACCACACCTGGCTTGCGGCCAGCACCACCATGCCTTGGTACAAGAGCATCCAGTCGACTCTGCACAGAAGCAGACTTTTAAGAAACGCTTTCCAGGGAATGGAAGCAAAAATAGTCCCATTAAGAATTTGTTTCTCTATAAAATTACAGGACTTTGTTTTTGACAATGGATTCTTAGCTGTGATACCAAACGCACAAGCATATAAAAGACAGAACAGACAAATTGGACTTCTTCATTAGAATAAAAAACTCTGTGCAGCCATGTACCTCTCAGGAAACTGAAGAGACAACTTATAGGTTGGGAGAAAATATTTAGAAACCATATATCTGATAATATCCAGAATACATTCTTTATAGAACTCCTGTAACTCATAGACCAAAAGATACCATTCCAATTTAACAATGGGCAAGGGACTTGAATACACATCTCTCCAAAGAAGTTACAAAAATGGCCAATTAGCACAGGAAAAGATGCTCAGTGTCATTAGTCCTTAGAGGAACGCAAGTGAAAACTACAATGAGATACCACTTCTTAACAACTGCTGTTGTTGTTGTTGTTAAGTGCTGTCCAGTCGATTCCAACCTGGAGTGACCCAGTATAAGGTTTCCAAAGAGCAACTGGTGAACATGAACCACCAGCCTTGCAGTTCAAACGACTTTGCAGTCTGACAGTAGCCCACAGTGCCACACCAGGACTCTCTCTCTTTTTATTTATATTTTTTTTTACCAGGACTCTCTTAACAACTAGGATGGCTATAATCAGATAAAGAGAAAATAACACCCTCTTTGTTGTCGAGGATGAAGACAGTGGAAACCTCACTCATTGCTGGGATAAATATAAAATGGTGCGGCCAGAGAGCTAACACAAAGCTGACAAAGATCCAAAAGATGGTGCTAAAAAGGCTAACAAGGATGGGTCTTGCATACAACAAACCTTGTTGCTGTTGTCACGTGCTGTCAAGTTAGTTCTGACTCAGTGATCCTCAGTACAAAACAAGGAAACAGTGCCTGCCCCTGCATCATCCTCACAACCTTTGGTATGTTTCAGTGCACGGTTACAGCTATTGTGTCGATCCTTCTCTTTAAGGGTCTTCCTCTTTTTTGCTGACCCTCTACTTTACTAAATATAATGTCTTTCTCCAGGAATTAGTTCCTCCTCAAGGCATGTCCAAAGTCAGCGAGACAAAGTCTCGCCATCCTCCCACTTCCAAGCAGCATTCTAGCTGTACTTCCTCCAAATTGAGTTTGTTCTTCTGCCAATTCTTCAACCATAAACACACCAATTCTTCTTCAGTCTTCCTTATTCAATTCCCAGCTTTGTTGTGCATATAAAGTTATTGAAAATACCATGGTGACTGGGTCTATTCTTCCAAGTAACATCTTTGCTTTTTAACACTTTAAAAAGACATTGTTTAGAAGGTGGGGCTTGATGGCGGCTAGTATGGAGGTGCAGTGAAGTTAGCCATCAGCCATACCACAGAATACCAGGCAGAGCAGATCAAGGGCAGAGCTCCAAAACTCAGAACCACATAGGTACGAATATTTTAAAAGTTTAAAGGCTTATAGCTAGTGGAACTTGAAGCAGCAGTAAGAAATCGAGTACTTTTGAATCGGCTAGGGTCGGTGGCCTGGAGCCGACAACTTGGGTGAGACTAAATGGCACGACCAAGCCAGCTAACAAACACACCACGGAAAAATGCCGCGGGAACCTCAGAGCAAAGCTGGACAATGCACTTTGTCAGTTTTACTTTGTTATGATTTTCTTTTTATTTGATATGTGTTCATTTCCCCCTGACCCCCACTGTTTGCACACCTCCATTCTGGTGACTAGAGGGGGTGTTTGAGCAAGTGGACACCTCCCACCATCACCAATGGTGGGTTCTTCTGCCATGCATGCAAACAGATACTCTCAGCCGTGAATTGTTTGTTTGTTTGTTTTTAAATACGGGAAAGGACAGGACAGAGGTGTAAAAAGGGAAAGAGAGTTTAAAAACAAAACAGGCTGAAAATTAAATTAAATCCTGAGATACAGCATAACAAACAACAGTGGCATCTTGAAATCTCTCAGGAAGCATTGAAGGCAAGAAGCTGAAGAGAGGACATTAAAGTCATACTCGTATTAGGCTACAGAATTTTTCTTTTTCCTTCTCTCCCTCTTCTCCCTTTTCTGTGATTATAGACTACAGTATTCAGTCTAGTTTTGTTTTTTGTTGGTGGTGGTGGTTGTTTTTTTACTTCTTCTTCTTGGGTTTTTTTTTTGTTGTTTGTTTGTTTTTGCTGTTCTATGTTCCCCCTTCTACCTTTGGGGGACTCTTTCCCTATATTACCCAAGAAGAGACAGCAACTGCTGCCATACAGTCAAGCTACAATCACACTCTATAAATCACCAAAACCCAGTCAAGAACAAATACCAACTGCTATATACCAGGGAGGCAGACAACACCTGTGAAAGTTACTCTGAGTTAAACAATAAGAAGACGGAAAAGGGAAGCTCACATCCTGATCACATCTTCCTGGAAGTAATTAGAAAGCATAAAAAATACCAAAACACATACTAAATTAAGTACTGAGGCCACAGATAAACACTAAGCATGTCCAAGAAGCAAAAGCAGATGACCATATCAGCACATGTCCAGAAACAAGATAAAATGTCTGAGACAAATGACCTAGAGGTAGACCTGGACTCCATTCTGGAAGGAGGGCAGGCCTTGAAAATGCCTGAGAAGGAATTCAGAAAAATGATTATAAAATGTTTCAAAACACTTGATAATGAAGTTCAGAAAAATAGGAAGAAATCAGGAAAGCGCTACAGTAACAATCAAATAAGATAGATATAGCATTGGAAACAACTCAAAACCTACAGAAAGAGGTCCAAACTATCAATAATAGAATATCAGATATACACAACACTCTGAAAGGGCAAAGAAGTAGATGAGAAGAGATGAAAGGCAAACCAGTGAGCTGGAAGACAAATCTCTCAATAACACTAAGATAGAAGAGCAAACAGAAAAAATGATAAAAAAAATATCTGAAGAAGGTCTAAGATTCATGTTGGACAACATGAAAAGGAATAGCTTAAGAATTATTGGCATTCCAGAGCAAGAAGAATCACACAAGTCCACAGAGGAAGTAACTGAAGAACTTCTGGAAGAAAATTTCTCTAACATCCTGAAAAGTGAAAAGATAAACATTCAAGAAACTATACGAACCCCAGCAAGGATAGACCCCAAAAGAACATCACTGAGACATATCATAATCAAGCTCTCCAAATTCAAAGATAAGGAGACACTCCTGAAAGCAGCTAGGGAAAATAGAAGTGTTACATGCAAAGGCAAGTAAGTCAGATTAAGCTCGGATCTCTCAGCAGAAACCATGCAAGCAAGAAGGCAATGGAGAGACATCTATAAAACCTTGAAACAAACAAAAAAAAAAACCTGCCAACCAAGAATCCTTTATCCAGCAAAGCTATCAATCAAATACAATGGTATAATCAAAACAGTCCAGGATAAATAGAAGCTAAGGGATTTTGCCAAAGCCAAC